CGGTGACTGTCACTCACGGCTCCCTGCAGGGATTCCCCCGCTCCCCTGTCCGATCCTCCAGCGCTGACTGGCGGAACGGACGGGGGTTGGGGGCGGGTACAGCTGGCTCTGCCTATCCAGAGTCACTCACGCAGCTGGGTGGATCCAGACAGTAATGTCGGGATCCGTCCCGGCTGCGGCGCTCAGTATATAGGGAGCTGTAGCTCCCTATATACTGAGCTTAGGGTGACAGGAGGACGCTAGTTTGTGTCCTCCTGTGACCCTGAGGAGAACTATGGGGAAAAGCACTGACCCCATAGTTCTCCTTTAATTCCTACACTGAGATGCCGGGTGACTTCCTGGACACGATACAAAGTGTTAACAAACATCTGACACAGATCAGCCCCTGCTGCTGCCTCTCACCTTGCTGCAAAGTTACAGAAGCAAAAACATACCCTTGCACTGCAAGGGTTAATCTCTCAAACCTTTCCTCAGTAATGGATTCCGATCAAGCAAACACACATCGCCCAGCAAAGCATTCCCTTCTATTTTTGCCCAAATCACTCCACAGCCATCATGTTTCCACACAGCTCCAACTCTCTCATCTCGGCTTCCCTGAACCTCCTGTCCAGTACAAGATCACAAGGAATGGAGCAGTCTCCAGCAGCCGTCCGTCTACTTGTTTGGCGGAAGGAGGAGGAGCCGAGGGAAGGGGAGTGTCTTGTCTTGCCGTGTCTGTGTGTTTGTACACAGGGGCGTCCCGAGGCCGGGTGACACCTGGAGCGGTAACCGAGTGTCACCCCGCCGAGACGTCATTGTGCACGCGCGGCAGTATTACCCAATACCTAAAGTGTTACCTGCCGGCGGCCATCTTGGCAGAGAGAGGAGGGGACAGTCACGCGCACGCGCACCAGTATTCTGATACCTACCGGCGGCCATCTTGGTGATGGACGCCGGCAGAGAGAGGAGGGGACAGTCACCCGGCGGGATAAGGTATGCCGCCGGGTCCCCTCCTCTCTCCTGATACTCATGGACCGAACGCCCGACTTTTCAGAGGGGGGTAACACCAAAATGACTGTGAGTCATTTTGGTGTCAACCCTCCAATGGTGTCACCCGGGTGCGGGCCGCACCCCCCGCGTGACGCCACTGTTTGTACAGACACACATCTTACTAGCACACACAAGGGTGACTCCATAGGACCAGGGCCGGATTTCCCACAAGGCCACTGAGGCCCGGCCTTGGGGCAGAAGGAAGTAGAGGGGCAGCAGGGGTGCGGATCTCCTATCACCCGAAGCCCGGGACTTGCAGTTCCAGGCGTTGGGGGGGCAGTTGTTTTCTACATTCCACAAGTGATCCCGGAGATGTTGCAGAGATCACTTGTATGCAGCCTGCAGGTCTGGTTGCCATTCTCCATGGGGGGGGGGGGGGGATCAGGACCTGTGCTCAGGGGACCAGCATCAAGGAGCAGCTCAGATACACTCGCCTGATCCTCGGACCTGCCAGGCTGCAAGACCGGTCCCTGCAGCCTCTTCTCCCCCCCAGCCTATGACAGTCTAAGGACCGCTGACATCATCACATCTTATACAGGTCCATTGACTTACATTAGACATAAGGACGCGGTGTGCGGTGAAATCAGAGTGCACGTTACTATGTTCCTGGGTCATGCTGTAAATATTTTATATGATCGTATTGTTCTGAACTTTACTAATCTTCCTCTTAGAGCTCGATGACGGGTCCACTTCCTGCCCGTCCCGTCCAACTGGTTCACCCTTCAGTGGCCTCTCTCAGACTGAATTGCAGCCCTATGTGATCATCATTCTTCCATAGAGTCATGTGGCATTCATGGCATACTGCAACCTGCATTGTCATTGGCCGGCCCGTGGCACGCGGGATGTGGGCTCATCGCAGGGAGCTGAAATAGTCATTTTTTGTGTGGATGGCGTCAGGTGAGACTCTCTGAGAATTCCCATGGCTTCCTGTCTATATGATGGGTGTCACTCAGAACAGGAAGTGAGGTGAAATCTCCCCAGCGGGGACACACATGTTCTAAGCCATCCTCACTCAACCATCACGTTCTCAAACAATTCATCCCCCACACAGCTACCTCCTCATGTATCACTGGCCCCTCCCCTTTTAGATTGTAAGCTGTCAGGGGCAGGGCCCTCCTCGCCATCTTGTCTTGAATTGTATTGTGACTGTAATGTCTTCCTTATATTGTACAGCGCTGCGCAAACTGTTGGCGCCATATAAATCCTGCATAATAATAATAATCCTCACTTCCTTTTCTGTCCTCGCCGTAAAATCCATTTCTCTGCGTTCATTGAAGGACACGGCGGACATCTCGTACTGATTGGGTTATACTGCCGTCTATTCCTGCAGGTGGCGGTATAACCCATTAGTTGGAGATCAGGGTCTCCGCTGTGTCCTTCAATGAACGGATGGGAAATGTGTTGTCCGGAGGTGTTCTGGGATATAATCAGGGGCGTCCCGAGGCTGGGTGACACCCGGAGCGGTAACCGAGTGTCACCCACATCTGCCGGGGATGCGGGGGAGCGGAATGAACCGAGCCGCTGCGAGTGAAAGTAAAATCTTCAGAATCATCTTCTCTATTTTCTCCCTTTTGTTTCTGTTAAATATCCCAATGAAAGCGTTTTGTTGTATCTGATAAGTGCAAAAATGTTGATCCTGCCAGAAATCCAGTAAGCTGGTGGCTTCCTGTGCTCTCTGCCTCTGCACAAAGAGGGGGGAGGAGGAGGGGTTATGGAGATGAGAAGGAGGGGTTATGGATCCAGTGTGACACTGGGAGCTTCCTGTAATGAAGACCGGTCACTGCTGCTCTCTCTCCTTGTGCAGGGTGACTGGTCTTGTCTCCGCCCCCTCCTGTAATAAAGACCTGTCGCTGCTGCTCTCTCTGCTTGTGCAGGGTGACTGGTCTTGTCTCCGCCCCCTCCTGTAATAAAGACCGCTCGCTGCTGCTCTCTCTCCTTGTGCAGGGTGACTGGTCTTGTCTCCGCCCCCTCCTGTAATAAAGACCGCTCACTGCTGCTCTCTCTCTCCTTGTCCAGGGTGACTGGTCTTGTCTCCGCCCCCTCCTGTAATAAAGACCGCTCACTGCTGCTCTCTCTCCTTGTACGGGGTGACTGGTCTTGTCTCCGCCCCTTCTTGTAATAAAGACCGGTCACTGTTGCTCTCTCTCCTTGTGCAGCGTGACTGGTCTTCTCTCCGCCCCCTCCTGTAGTATTTTTCCTGCTGGGCCCCTCCCACAGCTCTGCTCTCTGCACAAGCTGTGTGCAGCCCAGTGATGATATCGTGCCTACATTTATAAGATAATATCTGGGTTTGTAAAGGCATTTGGTGCGCACAATGTGACTGTGGAGGAATAGATTTCGATGGTTCTGCACTCGGAGTTCAGCTATAAAGTTGTTTTATAAACAGAGAACGTCAGTTTCAGCCTCCAGTCACACATTAGTGCACAGATACACACGTGAAAGTGCAAAACCCAAAAAGCAATGCATCCCTATGGGGCCCGTTCACACCTGCGTGTTCGTACGCGCGCACAAAAACGCGGAACATGGGAAAAAGTGCATGCGCAATTTTATGGCCGATATCAGTGCGTTCTGTCCCCCAAAAGACGCACTGTAGCCGCAAACACGCTGAAAAATGCGCATCTATAAAAAATTGTACATTTTTACGCGTGAAAAACACGTGCTGAATTCCAACGCAGATGTATCAGGCCCGTGCAGACCGACGCGATCCAGGATCGCGCTGTCCTGCACAATGCCGCGATTGCTGCGCGGGCCCCATCGATTTCAATGGGGTGACATCCGCGCGGCGATCGCAGAAAAAAGGTACAATTGCCTTTGTTTGCGACACCCGACTCGTGGCTGTTTTAGCCACGATCGTGTTCAGAAGCACGGGTGGAATTGCGGTGGGAAACCGCGCGATCCGCTCGGCGCGACTGGGGTGCCATTGGAAAATAATGGCACCCACAGCGCGATCGGTGCACACTAGGCCCCGTTCACATTTCCGTGCGCTATCGCTCTATGTAGCTCGTCCAATGTCCACATCTCAATGTCGCCTGTAGCTCATCGCTGAAGCTTGTCGCTCGTACACGACCCTTTTTTTCGGCGGATGTCGCGCAAAATCGCGCATTACCGGCGCCACAGAAGGGTCACTTTTGCACTGCCAAATGGAAGGAAAGAATGATGTCGCATCAAGATCGCTGTTGATTGATAACAGCCCACTGTAGCAGCGACGAAGTCCCTCCCCCCCAAAAAAAGCGCTATGTAGCGCGATAAAATGTGCACTGTCGCTCAATATCGCGCAATGTAGCTCAAAGCCGCTCAGCGCGAAATTGTGCGGAACAACGCGCAATATCCAATGTGGCTCAGTGTGAATGTGGTCTTAGGCGACTCCAGACCGCGCGGCAATCCCCACGGAATGGTGCAAGATTGCGGCGCGGTGAGGTGTCGCCTAGGTGTGCACCGGCCCTGCATGGAAGCTCAGGAGATTATGTAAACAGAGAGAGATATTTACTAACAACGGGATGACTTCCTGTCTGGAAACCACAGAAGGAAACGATCATCTCTTGTCATCTGCAGCTATGTCTGCCCCCCCTGACCCTCCTCAGCCATGTCTGCCCCCCCTGACCCTCCTCAGCCATGTCTGCCCCATCTGCCCCCCCCTGACCCGGCCCAGCCATGTCTGCCCCCCCCTGACCCGGCCCAGCCATGTCTGCCCCCCCCTGACCCGGCCCAGCCATGTCTGCCCCCCCCTGACCCGGCCCAGCCATGTCTGCCCCCCCCTGACCCGGCCCAGCCATGTCTGCCCCCCCCTGACCCGGCCCAGCCATGTCTGCCCCCCCCTGACCCGGCCCAGCCATGTCTGCCCAGACGGTACAAATGAGCATGATGGGAGCACACTGAGGCCTCCGGCACCAAAGCGGTTAATGCTCTGGAGGTGTGAGCAGCGTGCTCCCCTCTGATTGGTCGACAGACAGGAAGTGGAATGTTTTGTAACTCTTTGTTGGTGATGTAACAACTTTGTGTTCAGCTCTTGCAGCTCTGAGTGTCTGAATCTCCATCATTATCTGGTAATACTACTACTACTACTACTACTACTACACCACCCATCATGCGGCTATGATTACAGGGGTCAGACGTCTCTGCTATCCTGCTGCTTCTGTCTTCCTGTCCTCTGTGTTTTCTGTCATCCTCATCCTTCAGCATGCGTCTCTTATATAACTCTCTCAGTATTCCTGCACAGGGGGTGTCACATGGCAACGGCGACCTCTCATGGTGATTGTCGTCACATGGTGAAGTGTGGGGGCTCCCTTTCCAAATTTAGACCACACGCCATAGGCGTTGCGCTAAACGCACGATACTGTGCATGCACTACTACCCACCGAACCCCAGCACAGCGTGCGATGTGGAGGTGCTGCAATGCATGGCCTCCTAGAGGTGCGTTGGGGTTCCATTCCAATGAATGGCGACGCATTGCACCCAGAACTGCACTCTAGGTGCGTTGTGCGATAGCAAGCGCTGAACGCGCGGTATGGTGCCATTAACTGTTAGAAAATCGCATGAACGTTCTGAAAATGAAATTCTGCTGGGGGACGGCCAGCTATAGCTTGCTGCTACTTAAAGGTAACAGAAACCCCACCAATAAACCTCACAGAAGCTTTAATCTGTTAAAGTGTCATTATAATGTCATTTTAAATCTGCAGCATTTGATCAAATAATCCCGTTGATCCCGCCATGAAGATCCTTGTTCAGACACTTCCTGTTATAGGGTGACAACGCTTTGTCCTTGTCTCCCAACTGTTCTCCTGCGTTGTCACCCTGCCAGATGGGCTTCCTATGGAGACTACAAGTGGCCGTTTCAACACACATTATACAGACACGGTCCACTGTTGTCACCATTAGGAAACCCGCCCTGAGAAGTGCCATGGAGCGCATGTAGACAGGAAGCGAGGATTCAAGGTGATCGGCACTGAGATGGAACAAAGAATGGAAAAAAGTGAATGCAAAGAAAAGAATGTCAATTGTTTGTAGTAATATTCTGTATTCCGGGCGAGCTGTTTCTGTTGCCCCGGGGTAAGGCTGTCTGTGGTTCGGTTTGCTTTGTGGACTGATTTATAAAGCTTCCATCCGGGGTATAGCTGGTGAATGCTGTCTGTGCTGCACCTGTGCCACCACTAGATGGCGCTGAGGAGCAAAGCAATTTCCTGTGCTCCCTGGCTCCATCTAGTGGGGATAATGCCGTGTGTATTACATTTGTTGGAGGGGGGGGGGAGTTTTGGGAGAGCGGGGACGAGCCGGAGGAATAATTATCCGATGGGGGGAAGTCCCCTTTACATCATGTGAGTCTTTCAATTTTCCTTCATTATGCAAATCAGCGTCTTGGAGAGTGCAGTACAGCAAAGCCAGCCTTCACGCATTGATTAAAAGGGGATATCTGGTTGCTATGGGTTACTAACCCGTCGTTGCTGTGTGCGCAGCTTTGCGCAATAAGTCCGGATACGGCTTTGTGTCATTCTAACTTGTAACATTTTTAATTGCAGTTCACATCCCGGGGCACCATGACCCACCGATCAATCCACTGGTTCAGGAAGGGGCTCCGCCTCCACGATAACCCCGCCCTGCTCGCTGCCATGAAAGACTGCGCTCAGCTGCACCCCATTTTCATCCTGGATCCCTGGTTCCCCAGGAATATGAGAGTCAGTGTCAACCGCTGGAGATTCCTCATCGAGGCCTTGAAGGATTTGGATGAAAACCTGAAGAAGATCAATTCCAGGTATCGGAAAGGATGTGCGCAGCAAAAGAATCAGACGGGTCCTAATTATTCAAACATTAAAGGAGAACTATGGGGGGGAGGGGGAGTGCTTTTTATTCACCTCATAGTTCTAGCCGACCTGTGACAATGAGACTGTCACAGGTCGGCTCAGTAGATTGGGAGGTGAGCGAACACATACCGGCGTCCGCTCACTTCTCGATCCTGTCACGGCAGAGAGCCGTGACAGTGGAGGGGCTGGATTCCCCTCTCCCCGCTCCGGGGAGCTGTAGCTTACTTAGGGTGACGGGAGCTTAGGGTGACGGGAGGACGCTAGTTTGTGTCCTCCCGTTACCCTAAGGAGAACTATGGGGAAAAGCTCTGACCCCATAGTTCTCATTTAAGGTTATAGGGTTAGAGTTTTGTTAACCACTCCCCCACAGATGTCACAGGGACAGTAAGTGAAGGAACTCTGTCACCTCAAGTAGGGACATTTAGATGATTGGGGAAGGATTAGAACCTTTGTCTATGTGAACTAACCCTAACCTTGGACTTAGAGTTAGAAGGTTAGGGTTAGAGGGTGAGGGGGTTAGCATTAGCAGATTAGGGTTAGAATGGGTTAGGGTTCTTTGACAACCACTCCACCACGGATGTCACAGGAAGTGAGGGAACACCGTCCCCCCAATCGGGGATATTGTATCTTCCCACTAATTGCAAAAGAAAATGTGTCTGGGGCTGGTTTTAGGTGTATGTGAAGGCCAAACATCTCCTCCTGATCTCCTCCGTTGGTGGGAATGCCATACTGGTGTACACAATGCATGAAAATGTTTCTGTGTGGCAGTAATGCAAGTCCAGGCTGGCGCAATGACATATCCCCCCCCCCCCCGGGGG